AGCAGGGGAGAGGAGGAAATGGAGGAGCAGAAAGGTTGAGTTGGGGGAAGAATAGAGGAGAGCAAGATGAGAGATACCATAACAGAGGGAGCCATTATAGGTGCAAGGAGAGATCTGGCACTAGGGAGATTTCCAGAGATCTACAAGAATGACACCTGGCAATCTAGGCAATGGTGGAGAGGTTACCCTTAAATGTCCTTCCCATATGATGAGACTGATGACTACTTTATATGCCATCCTAGAGCGCTCATCCAGTGGCTGATGGAAGCAGAGGCAGACACCCACAGCTATACACTGAACTGAACTCTGGAACCCAGTTGCAGAGAGGGAGAAATGAAGATCAAGGGGGTCAAGACGAGGCTGGTGAAACCCACAGAAACAGCTGACCGGAACGAGGAGGAGCACCCTCGTTCCCAGTCTGCTCCCAGTCTGCTGTCTGGGAAGCCACCACAGGACTGATCCAGATCCCTGAAAGTGGATGTCAAGGAGGAGGCCTTGGCACCCTATGGGGCCTCTGGTAGTGGATCAGTATTTTTCCCTGGTATAAGGAGGGACTTTGAGAGCCCATCCCACATGAAGGGATGCTCTCTCAGCCTGGACACATGGGGGAGGGCCTAGATCCGTCCTAGGATGATGATGTGGAATTTGGGGAGCCCCTGTGGAGTACCCTACCCTCTATGGGAAGCAGAGGGGCAGAGGGGAGGGTGCTGGTGGGGGGTTGGGGGGAGAGGGAGAAGGGATTGACATGCGAAATTATAATTTTGTAAAAATTAAAAAACAAACAAACAAAACAAAACAAATAAAAACAAACAAACAACAACAAAAAAAACCCTCAACTATCCCTGAGTATGAGCCTGCCTTGGAGTGTGGTCGATACACCACACTCCGTTGGAGAAAATGAATTCTTCCGTTGTCTATCAGGTATCAGTTGCAAGCAGCTTCTTGGTTAGGGGTGGGACTTTGTGCCCATTTCCTCTTCTCTATGCTGGGATTTTCTGGCTTGAATTTGTGTCTTTCTTGTGCATGCATCATAGTCTCAGTGAGTTCCTATATACCTCAACCCTGCTGTGTCTGGTCTTGTGTGAAGGCCTTTGAGAGTCACGTTTGGGACAGTTTGAGACTCCCAAAGAATAACATGTAACACACTAATTATATAATTATGCTGAACATAGTAATTCATTAAGAAAAACATTTATTTTTAAGATCTGTGCACTCATGCTGATACCATAAAGGAAATCAGGAGAGGAGAGTCTCTCCTTTATAGAAGAATGTCAGTTGTTGTATGTAAAGTGAATGTTAAAATCACAAATTTAGCATTTTTCAACACCAGTGAAATCACTGGTTCAAACCAAGGACATTGCTGGCTAGCTGCCTGGGCATGACAGAACTCGAAGACTGAGACAGGTTATCACAGAGGGAAAGAGACTTCTCACAACAGAAGAGCAGATGCCTCAGCACAAAGTCTCAACAGCATGGCCAGTGGGGTCGACACTGGGGATATCTGTTATGATACAATGGGAGATGTACACTGTCCCTTATGTAGTAGACACAAAATATTTAACCTGTCTCCGAAGACGAGAAATTAATTAGATCCATATTGTTGGGAGTCCTTCAATACCACTAGTATGGGTTTTTGACAAAATGTTAAAGCCATAAAGTGAAAATTTTGGGTGGGTGTGTCTGTTCTAGAATAGGAAATAAAAATACACAAAAACTGAATACAGTGCACATCCCTAAATGTGTATTGAAATAAATAGCAAGAAAAGGATATTAGCAGGTCAATTAAAAAATTGAGTTTAAGTTGTGTAGTATGTGATGTTGTCCTATCAGGCCTCAACTACATTGGTGTGAGACCAGTAACAACAGTGAGCATTTCATTTTTCAGGCACTTACAGAGTATTTAGATTTGCAGTATCACAATACCTATACCTCAGATCAAGTGTTCCAGCAAACAACATCTTCAAAGTTTATAATTTTAGGTTTTACATTTATATGTATACTCCATTTTGAGGTAATTTTTAGCACATGTTGCATTATAGATTGAAGTACATCTTTTAAATGAATGTAAATTGTTAACATATCAATGATGGAAAGACTGCTCTTTCTCTGCTTAATTGTATTTGCCTCTTTGTCCAAACCAGTTCACCACATGTGTGTTTTTTTCTTTCTGGGTTGTCTTCTGTTCCATGGATCTCTTTGTCTTTCCCAACACCAGTACCACACAACCTCTTTGTTTAATGTCTTGAAGTCAAGCAGTGTGAGTGCTTCAGTTTTGTTTTGTTTTTCCAAAGTGCTATGGAGTATTCTAATGCCTTTGCCTTTTCCTGTAAATTTTATGACTAGTTCATTGATTTCACCAAAGAAGCCCATTCAACTGCTGGAGATGCAGTTGAATCACAGTGTAGTTTTGGAAAGACTTACATGTTAATTATTTATTCTTTTAACCCTTGAGCCATATTCAAGTCTTTAATATTTTATAGTTTGTAGTACACAAATAATCAATCCTTCATTGGCAGGTTTCCATGTGTGGTCTCAACCCTTTCTAGCAAATGTACAGAAATGGGATTGCTGGATTTTATGATAAATTTATTCTTTGTTTTTTTTTTTTGATGAATGCCTGTAGTTTTCCATAATAGTTGAACTAACTTTCTTTCCTACCAATAATATACAAGTGTTCTCTTCCCCACATTTATGTTTTTCTGTCAACACTTCTTTCACCTTTTTTAAATAACCATTTTAAAGATGACAGGGAAACATAACAAGATACTTAAGATCCCAGAGCTGTTAGCTGGTTCTGCTGGGATTTCAAATCCAGTTCTGCTAGGGTAAGAGTCTCACGTGCCTCATCTTGCTTGGCTCGGGGTTGGAAAACCTGGCCAGCTATTCACACAGGACTGTATGGAACACAGGAAGCTTTGTGATGCTTTTCTCCTGCAGGGACTCCCTTGGCTGTTCATCTGCTCAAAGAGAAGGAAAGGAAAGTCCTTTAGGACCAGACTGTTGAATGTGTGTCGGAGTTGGTTTGATAACCCACCTGGGGTGTTTTAAATTTGTTCAGGGGTCAGATTTGAGCTCAGACATTCCACATGGCTGTATTCTACCTGAAGAGAAGAATGGGTTTTAGTCAGTAAACAACAGTAAACTCAAAATTTGCCCAAACCTATTTCCTGATGAATTTCTGTCCAAGCACACTCCAGTTACAGCAGTCAGGAGAGAAACACGCTCACTCTGGAGGCTCTCCACAGCTGTGCGGGGCTTCTCCTCAGAAAGATCTAAACTGAATGGAAATCTGATGAAAAGTTTTGATCTCACACAACCTTCCTAATTTGTAGTATAGGCCAAGCAGGCATGTTCCTTGAAAAAGAGATGATAAAGTTATACTGACCCCACAATGGCCCACACTGCAGAGGTCCCTTGTTGTGAGACTTCCATAAACAGAGAGTTGATTTCATGTTACTGGGGATAAACTCTGAATCTCAGCAGGAGCAGGAGACTTGTTGGTGGAGGAAGTCAAAGAACACCAGCCCAGATTGTCCACAGCAGGGGAAGGGTTCATCTCAGCTGTCTTAAGACTGGATCAAGGCTTAGCATCAGGTCATTGGTGCCGATCACTGGGGCAAAGAGGGTTATTTTTATTAAGTATTCATGTTTGTGTAGGAGCTTTCAGTCATTAATCATTTAACTCTCGGGGCTCATGGGACTTTTGCATTGGGAAAGAAATAACACCATCTAATTTTACAGCTACAGAATTGGAAGCAGCACTATCCACTGCTGTTCCACCTAAGGAGGTGAAGCCATACACAGGAATCTGGGGAGCCAGAGCAGGAGGTCCCTGTAGGGCTGAAGTGAGGTGTTCTGTTTTGATACAAAATTAACTGATTTCTTTTTTCATTTTTAAGGCAACATTACAGATGCTAACTTGTATTGAAGTAAAAACAAACAAACAAAAAACTTGCCTCCATTTCAGACATTATCTGGTTGAAATTCTGCTGGGTCTGCACACTGTTTTGAAATCAAAATGTGCATTTATGTAGCAAAGATTATAAGGCATTGCCTGCCGGTCCTATCTTCTCAGAAAAATGAGAACATCAGCAAACATTCTTTGTGGGAGTGAGTACCTGATGGCAAACCGGACTACAGGAGAATTGCATGGAGGTTGTGAGGCCTACCATTAATCTCCTGGCTTCCTGGAGAAAGTATGTTTTGAAGTTCAGTTAAAAGATGCCTAAATCACTGTAGCCAAAAAATCCTTCAACCCCGACCCTTTGAAGCAGCTGTCCTATTTCTGTCCTCGAGCTGTAAACACCTGGAAGTATTACAAGATGGGGGAACTTCCAGAGAAACTCATAAGAACATATATTGAGGAAATAAAGAGAACTCTGACAGTGCGAACTTTACGATCTATCAACTGGCCAGGTGTGGTGGCATGTGTTTTTAATCTCAGCACACTCGGGAGGCAGAGGCAGGAGAATCTCTGTGAGTTTGAGGCCAGCCTGGTCTACAAAGTGAATTTCAGGATAGCCAGGACTGTTATACAGAGAAATACTGTCTCAAGCAACCAAAAAATAAATAAATAAAAAAGAATCTATCAACTGTGAGGCAGGTGGCAGGTAAGGGGCACACAAGTACAGAGGGGGTGTTGTCAATGGAGTCATTTGAATCTTAGATAAAGCGCAAAAAGCTCCTTAGGGTTCTGCGTACCCTCTGCTCGGGCAGGGAATGAGTGAGGGTTAGGATAACCACCTTCCTCCAGCCTAAGGCAGACCTTGGCTTAAATTCATGTAGAACTTAGTGGCTGCAAGTCTCAGGTCAGATGGCATGAACAGAGCCAGCCTCAAAGACTAATGATGGAAGTAAGAGCCACATGGCACCAGGGCAAATCCAGAGGATATGGGTCTGAGATTCATTCAACTCTAGGAGTCTTCTTTAGATAAACAATGCAAAATGTAGACTTTAATATGAGGAAGTCGGGTAAATATTTAGTTAGAAAGAGAAATCATCAGCATGTTTCCAGGGTCTATGGCTGTTTGTGGCCCTGGGATCTCCAACCACATACCAACTGGAGGGACTTGGACAGCCCAGGTCAGCACAGTGCCTGTAGATGCCACTCAGTTTTCCTGTATATTTTACAAAAGAAAATAAATTTAAAAAAGAGAGAATTGCAGCAAATCATTAATTTGAAAGAAGCTGACAAATAGCACAAACATTAACAAGTCCAGGAAAACAGTACAAAGCTTTTAGTAGTTGTCTGTCATGTACAGATATAACCACCCTGCAGAGTCTGACAGTTGACAGATGACAGCTGTTCTATAGAGACACACTGAGCAAGCAGAATAGGCACATTTTGTCTCTTCTCTTCAGTGTGGTTAATCAAAATTTGCTTTTTACAGTCAATAGCTTAAGAAACTTTCCACAGTGCACATTCTTGTATCATTCACACAAATGTATGATTGTCACCAGATTGAAATGCTTTTGTTAGAATTTTGAGACACTCAAGAGTCACAAGATCTAGACAACTTTTCCATACCTGTTTCTGGCTATGCATTTTAAGTCTTCTTTCTCTGCATCATCATCCTAATTTTGGAGCTGGGCATTGTAGGATGATACATTCATGTTTCAGGATGATACATCTTGGTTGTCCAGATCACTGGGTAAGTAGCCAGTAAGAAAGTTTCTGAGATCCATTCATATAAATATGAACTAGCAACCAACTCTACAACAAAATTATGTGACCCATATAATGAGTTCCACTCTACTCAAGCTAAACATGTCCTCAACTCAAGTGCATACCACCCTATCTGGAGGAAAATGTGACAGGGGAATTCAGAGCAATATAAAGTAGTTGGCATTAAGCACTTTAACCTGATGAACTGTATAAAAATAAAAACACAGCCATGTAGGTATATAACCAACACTGACAGAGGCCTTGTGAGAATTCATGAGGCTGGCTTTAAGATTCCCTGCTTCTATGTGCCTTATCAATGTTCTGAGGCTTTTTCTCATATAGCCATGTCTTTAAAATTGTTACTGTATTTTGCTTATTTGTGTGTGAGCATATGAGGAGGACAGAGGACAGTTTGTAGGAGTCAGTTCTTTCCTTCTATTGTGTAGGTCTCAAGAACCAAACTCAGGCTTGGTGGGAAGCATTTTTAACCCCTGAGCCATCTCACCTCTCAATATTTCAATATCCTCATAACTAACTGTTGCTCAAAGTGACTACTGGAGAGGTATGGGAGCTTGTGTTCAAGACACTCTGAAACCAGTGTCTTGTCCAAAGTTAAACATGAAGTATGTCCTGTCCAGCAGGGATGAATCAACATTAAACTGACAGGAAGGTAGATGCATCCTAGGAAAAGGAAACGCCTTGCCTCCTTTGTCTGCAGGCTCTATCTGTATTCCCAGCTCCTCTCTCGAGTGGTTGTGATGTACTGAGCTCTGATCTCTTTCATCTTTCAGTAAATCCCCTCTGGGAATGTCAGACCATCCCTCCTCTCTCCCTCTACAAAGGAGACAGGAGAGTAAGTGGGTGAGCTAGTCAGACCTGCCTCAGGGCTACACCACATGATACTGGGCTGAGGTACCACAGAGGCCAATGAAGGCAGAATTTGGGAAACCGGGGTTCATAGTGTGGTGGTCATTCCAGAAATGTAAGCCCTCAGAAACGTGCTGCCCCGGCTCTGGAAGACGGGTAAAACAAATAAAGCTGCCGCCTATTTGGAGCACACACTGGGCCCTTCCACATCTGCAGGACATTTAGCTCCTTGCATCTGGTAGTGTTTGTGCAAATATAATTCCATATTCACTAATAATTCCTGGGGCTAAAGCCCCCCCCCCCACCATGTAACCTTGTTAATATTCTCTCAAGGTCTGGTGTGAACGCCTCATAGCATTTTGATTAGAATTCAATCTTCTGTTTCCCCCCCCACCTCTCTGTCTCTTTGTCCCTCTCTCTTCTCATGCTTTTCTGGCCCCTGGTTTCCTGGCCACCCACATGAGGAGGCAGTCCCCCGCCCTTCCACTCTCCATTCTCAGTTTCAAGGAATTTCCTTGTGTCAAAGGCAAAGTGTGATTGACATATTTTCCCCCTCCTAAGCACAGTCATCTCAGTTTGACTTAACCATCTCCTTATGGGACCCATACAGTCATTACCTGGGTGAGAAAGACCTCCTCCTTGCCCTGCTTAAGGGCCAGCTGAGCTCCATGCAGCTTGGCATTTTTATAGACTTAAATTCCTGCTCCCCATCTCCTTATTTGCCTACTTTGGGGGTGGTGTGTTGCTATTGGCACTAACCAGTATTCCCTGACAAACTGCACCTTGAGATTGAAAGAATTTTAGTTATTCACACTCAGGTAAACCAGCTGCCTCCTTTCAGTGCCCTCTGCCTGCCAGGAAAGGCATTTAATCACTGTTCTTCAGACTTGTGGGGAAATGGATAGCACAGTAAGTTTTCACCGACTCGGGGCAAGCCTCATTCCTTGGACTCATTAGTCTTCATGACCAACTTGTTTGTCTCTCAGGAGAAGAAAATAAAAAAATAAAAGCAAAGAATTATACCTTGAGGGATAATATTCAACCCACGAAGAAGCTCTTGGCAGGCAGGTTCTTGACTGGATGGAGCTGTTGGCTTTGGAATGTATGGGCTTTCTCAGAGTATTTAAGGCAGGCAGCTTCTATCAGAATTCTCATGGCCTCTAAGTGCTTCTACCCTTCTTCTCATAGTGAACTGTGACCTTGGAAGGTCACACTGGCCTTTCTTTTTGGAAATTCCCTTTTCTATGAAGGAGCCACATATACAACCACACCCTGTCATTTCCCATTACAGAATCACTCGGCTGTCAACAGAGCTAGTGCCATGCAGTAATTTTCTTCTTCTTCTTCTTCTTCTTCTTCTTCTTCTTCTTCTTCTTCTTCTTCTTCTTCTTCTTCTTCTTCTTCTTCTTCTTCTTCTTCTTCTTCTTCT